GAGCGAACATGGGAGAAGACAGTGGGAGTAGGAGTTTGAGGTGCTAGTTCATGTCATCTACTACCATGAGGTTGATTGTGTACACTAAATCTCAGCACAGCCGATGGGTATTCTACAGCCTAATCTTGTCTTTATTAATGGGATTATGCAAGAGCCCTGGAAAGGTGTGTAAAGATGACTGTGAAATGATAGCAAAGGCCACTGGCGATTCCCCTCCCAACATTCCTTATGCTATTTGCTTAGTCTTGTGAGAATATTTATATGATTGTAATTTTATATACTAATATTTACACATTTGAACTCCATTGTACTTAAAATGTTTCAGAAGAAATGTTCACAAAAATTTGTAACCTTTACCTTTTTTAAAATGTATACTTGTATTGCATGTATAAAATATAAAATGCATGTATAAAATATACTGAAGGTCTGATATTGTCAAAATTAAAATGAAAACTTTTAATATAGCACAATAATACATTAACTCAACCAGTTCAACGATTTCAAACATGCTGTGACATCTCAGTGAGTGGTTAGACTGCAGGTGATTGGCTGACGTGGTTTTACACCTGGACTAAATCAACGTGCTTTAACAGGGACTTGTAGAACAATAGTTGGGGGAACAGTTGCTTGTTGTTGGCTTCTGTGTCTGTGTCTTCTCATGAGTCTGCCGGAGCGCTCACGGGATATGGAGGTTACGGAAGGGTTTGCTGCGGCTCCACCTGAATTCAAGCCATGCCTGCAAGATATAAATCTGGTTTACACCTGTACAGGCCTGCCTGACTGTTGTAATATTAGCAGTCACATGAGAGATTAGATCAGGAGAGAAAAGCTTTACAGTATTACAGTGGTATTACAGCACTTCAGTCATTTATTGTGATAGCAGATTCTACACTTTACAACAAATATATACGACATGCTTTTTCAAAACCATAACTATTAAACTAGAATATAATTCTTTCAGGGTTAAAACTATTAATATCAAGTTACAGAGCTATGTCTAAAAACACAGATGTGACCTTTGGAAACTCCACTGTCATCTAAGAAATTATCTGGGTTAAAAGTGTCTGGGTACTTCCAGTGCTCCTTATCAGTTAAAATTGCTGTTAGTAATTATCTCGTTAGAAACAAAAGTTAGCAACTATATAAAACATAAGTTAGTAAATATCTCTGTGCCCTAAAAATACCATGTTTGTTAGTGGAACAATCAAAAAACACAACACAGCAATGCTGAAACACATTGCAGCAAAGAGTTGTTTCATGAATCACGCCAGAGGGTACAATGTTGGCACAGCGCTGAATCTCCTGAACAGTGGCGTATGTGTACGATAGTTTGTCTCGGTCAATCATGCTGGGTAAGCGGTCGTAACCCAGAACCTGAAGAGTCTCCTCATGACATCGCTCTGTAATGAAATGAAAGCTGCGGTGTAAAGGGTTTTCAATGTTCAAATACTAGTACAAGAAAGCTACTGGAAGGCTAGTCTCGCCAGACTCAGACTGACGGCTGAAGGTCTGGAATCCATGTCAGCTTACATTGGCCTAGGCCCGCCCATGAGGCCGTTTGACCGACATGTCAAACAACCAATCACAGTTCGTTCAATTCATCGTCACGTTTCGGGGCCTGGAAATGTCGCCACAATAACAGACCGGTGTGTAAAACTCTTGGACGTATTTTAAAGATTCTATGCCGCAAACTACATTTTTCACATACTTTTGAAAATCCAGCATTTAGTTGATCCTGATAAGCGCTCATCGTGTAAACACGACGGCTTTCTTCTTTCGTGAGGGGGTTTGGCGGCACGGCTTCGTTTCCAGGCGGAACGTTAAAGAACGCGACACACACGTCTCCCGGAAATCCTGTATAATTCAACCAATCCGATGACGACTTCGAAACTCCTGAAGTGTTTCCACTTTTGTGTGCCATATGCATCAGACGTTTAGCCAACGGTACGTGGGCGTGACGTCTGAGGCTGAGACTACTGGAAGGCTGACTTCCTGAAAAGTTGACACTGTGATGTTTACAAAACCTTATTCTTCAAGCTCAACCAATAGTCCATTTGGGATAGGACTATCTGTTAGGTTCAATGGCAATCTATATCCACCTAGTTGTGTTTACAGATTTTGTGATTTATTGCAATCAATTACATTTGGCCACTAGAAAATATAGTTACTGGAAATAAAGTGACTTACATAGCATGCAAGATATGCACGTATCAGTTCACAGATTCCAGAGGAATCGACTTTGGCATTGCTGGCACCAAGCTCTACTGTTTGAGCTACAGAATGCTGACAAGCTTAGGTACCTTGTACATCTGGGTTTTGAGTCAAGAAGATGAGGCCCCATCTGATGCTGGTTGCTGTGGTGTCGGTTCCAGACAGGAACAATTACCATGTTATCTTCATCAAACGTCGAGTCCTCATTGGCCTTCTGCTGCTCCAAGGAAAACAGAAAGCACCAACTTCCTGCAGTTTTACATTCCAACCTGTTCCAAAACACCTGCTAGTTTTTAATAATCCTGAAGACCTTGCTTAGTTTTTTCTAAGTTTGAGTTTGAGCTAAACTCTGCAAGGAAGTTGGACCTCCAGAAGCAGGACTGTACATCCCCGGTTAAGTAGTCCCCATTGTTACTTACAGCCTTACTGGACCATCATGTTATCCTTTATGGTTTAAACAAGCAAATACATCATAAAATTGGAGACAGCCTTGATGTAGGCAGTGTTGATGATCCAACAATACTGATGTCAAAATGACAGCAATTTATAGTGACAAAGCAACAGTAATGCCAACTTTCAAGAAGTTGAGGTTTTGATGCAGCATGGGTGACCGCTGGTAAAGTTTAGTAGGGTTTAACTTTTATCAAGAGTAACAATGCAAAGTGTCAACAACCTATGGGAATGTACACAATTAAGAGAGATCCACCTCCTGGTCCAGTTGGATAATAGCTAAGCACATTTAGTGCTTGTTCATACCTGTCCAACAAGTGACCCTGACTGAGTGATTTTCTCCTTCAGGATTTCCAGAAGGTATGCAAAGAGCTTGACAGCTAGCGGTTGAAATGGGTACCAAATTCAAAATATTGTCCCCCCTCAGACTCTATGCTCATGCGGGTTGCCAGATTTAGGACACAAACGCAACAGGAATGAGCGCAATTGACAATGGAAGTCAATGAGCCTTACACTGTAAAATAATGAGTTGTTTTATCCTCATTCTAATATGCCTCTGTTCATATAACGTTTTGGATGGATGCAGAGGATTTTTAGTTCAGGTAGAATCATTTGCTGGCTTCCACAGCTGCAATACGCTGTGTTTTCCATCAACTGGCAACCCGGGGTGTGGAGATACTACTGGGTAAATTGGCAGACCAAAACAAAAACAGACCTTCCGCCAGAATAAACACTTCAAATAATAACTGGCTGTAGCGTTGTTTTTCAGAGACACAAGTATGTGAACTTAGCATGTTTCTGAAATATCTGCAAACATATTATAGTAGTATATGCTTTAGTACAGTGAAAAATACATACAGCACCTTTAAAATTTGTATGTACATTTTCAAATTCACTGTCAGTACTGTACAATGTATTACTGACCGTATCCTTCAGTGGTCCAGATAAGAAGTGGTATATGTGGCCTTCCTGAAAAAAAATTAAGCATTTTGGACCAGGGCTTCCTTCACAAGCTGGATTGTATTGAGGAGTATCGCTGGCTTTCTCCCGAGATACACAGTGGTCATCTCTCCATACTGAGATAACTGCTCAGAGAAGATATCACAGCACTTCAACATAGCTACAGTGGCTTAGACATTGTCTCACCTGTGAATGAAGTCAACGTAGCGTTTACATTTTACAGAGTAAACCTTTCCACAAAAACAAAGCTTCTATAAGTTCAAAACAAAGACTTATGAACTCCATTGGATTCTTTTAAAAATATGGTATGGTTCTCACAAAAGGCAGAGGTCAGATTAATTGCAAGACAGGAATATGTGTTATACATATTTTTATGTATAAAAATACATAAAAGCAACACATCAGCATGTTGGTTTGCTTTTTCTTTATTTGTTTTTTTTTGTCTTTTCTTGATTTTTTTTTCCTGGTCTTTTTTGTCTGTTTTCTTGGTTTGCTATAGGGAAGTTTTTGGCTCTACATCATTTTCTTATTGGGTTATGTTATGTTTGATTTTCCTATCTAAAGCCTTTTGTCCTTATGCAAGCAAAATAGGAATACTGCTAATAAAAATAAAGTGAATAAATTTTAAATCCTTATTTTACACACAAAATAAAAACACTTTTTTTGGACCCCTCCAAAAATAGGGGTATTAAAATATTTGACATTTTGTATCACAAATCAATGTGATGATACACACAGAAATAAAAGGAAAATAAGACATAAAAACTGTACAAAAAAAGATAAAATTCATTTTAAAAAGTTTCCAAATCACCAAATCATGCCAAGTTAGTCTCTTTTTTTCTATAAGGACCTTGGGCATTGGTTTACAAAGTAAAGTGTCATTTCTTCTGCTGAATGTAGTTGAGATTGCCGTGCCGGCCATGTTGAATAAGCGGGTAATGTTGATTTGCCACTAGAGAGCCTGCAAGAAATGCAGAAAAAAACTGTTATGAGTGGAAACTTTTTATTTATTAGTGTGCATCTGTGGCCTATAAAAATCATAGAGAGGAATATTCAGTTAACTTAAAAGACCATTAATAACATGTTGAATGAATCAAATGATTCCTTTCAATACACAGGAACAGCAAATATGCTTGAGGGAATGTCATAAATGTCCACCTCATATTTCAACCCAAAGTCAAAAGAAAGTAAAATAAACACTATTCTACATAAAGAGAATGAAGCCAACTTTTAGCACCATTAAATTATTTTGCATTGTGACATGACAAGATAATTAAGCATGATTCACCTACAAAATTTTACAGAGTAAACCTTTCCACAAAAACAAAGCTTCTATAAGTTCAAAACAAAGACTTATGAACTCCATTGGATTCTTTTAAAAATATGGTATGGTTCTCACAAAAGGCAGAGGTCAGATTAATTGCAAGACAGGAATATGTGTTATACATATTTTTATGTATAAAAATACATAAAAGCAACACATCAGCATGTTGGTTTGCTTTTTCTTTATTTGTTTTTTTTTGTCTTTTCTTGATTTTTTTTTCCTGGTCTTTTTTGTCTGTTTTCTTGGTTTGCTATAGGGAAGTTTTTGGCTCTACATCATTTTCTTATTGGGTTATGTTATGTTTGATTTTCCTATCTAAAGCCTTTTGTCCTTATGCAAGCAAAATAGGAATACTGCTAATAAAAATAAAGTGAATAAATTTTAAATCCTTATTTTACACACAAAATAAAAACACTTTTTTTGGACCCCTCCAAAAATAGGGGTATTAAAATATTTGACATTTTGTATCACAAATCAATGTGATGATACACACAGAAATAAAAGGAAAATAAGACATAAAAACTGTACAAAAAAAGATAAAATTCATTTTAAAAAGTTTCCAAATCACCAAATCATGCCAAGTTAGTCTCTTTTTTTCTATAAGGACCTTGGGCATTGGTTTACAAAGTAAAGTGTCATTTCTTCTGCTGAATGTAGTTGAGATTGCCGTGCCGGCCATGTTGAATAAGCGGGTAATGTTGATTTGCCACTAGAGAGCCTGCAAGAAATGCAGAAAAAAACTGTTATGAGTGGAAACTTTTTATTTATTAGTGTGCATCTGTGGCCTATAAAAATCATAGAGAGGAATATTCAGTTAACTTAAAAGACCATTAATAACATGTTGAATGAATCAAATGATTCCTTTCAATACACAGGAACAGCAAATATGCTTGAGGGAATGTCATAAATGTCCACCTCATATTTCAACCCAAAGTCAAAAGAAAGTAAAATAAACACTATTCTACATAAAGAGAATGAAGCCAACTTTTAGCACCATTAAATTATTTTGCATTGTGACATGACAAGATAATTAAGCATGATTCACCTACAAAAAAAATATATAATATTAATATAATAAAAAAAAAAATGACAAATGCTCTTTTTTTTCCTGATTATTTTTTTTTTTTGGCCACTTCCTAATTGACTTAAAATTTACCAACATTTTATATATATATATATATTAAAATCAACACAATGTTGGTTTGCTTTTTATTTCTTATCTGCTCTTTTCCCGTCTGTTTTTTAGTTTGCTATAGGAAAGGTTTTTGGCACTACATAACTGACTTGTTGGATCTTAAAGCTTTTGTCCTTAACCAAGTAATACAGCAAAAATAGCATGAATGAAAATAAAATAAAAAATGTTTTATTGTTGACAATGGAAAATTCCATATACACAAGGTTTGAATGTTTTATTTTCAACATGTCAGACAGATAGGACAGCACTGGTACCTTGTGAGATGAAGGGTTTGTTGGGCTGCTGCAGGTAGGGTGGCAGACGGTAGGGCATGAAGGATGGAGACAGCGAATACGGAGCAGCACTGCTGTGCTCCCAGGGCCGAGAGCCCTGAGTCACGCCGCCAAAATGAGATGGGAAATTAGGATCTGAGATGTAGAGAGAGAACAGTGAACACACGGCTCTGTACTAACAGAGAGTAAAACAACCAACACAAGAACTCAGAACCGTTAAAATGTCACTCAACCATTATGAAACCATGTCACCTTCCTTATTTATACTAGATTCAAAAAACAAGGTATTCATTAGACTGTGATTTCAAGGGGTTGCAGGTGAAGCGGCTCTAAAAGAGGACAAGCAATCCAGTAAATCCAGTTCCCAGTGTTTAGTCTAACAGCTGTGGAGTCACCCAGTGAACCCAAAACACCTGTGAGACTTACCTGAGCTCACAAAGAGACACTGCACTGATTTCACTCATCTCTGAAACATTTTCATAAAGCTTAAATCTCCATAAGGATGTTGCCTTAGAAAGCACCACGTGAAAGTGTGAGCACCACGTGTGTGTACCTGTCTTGTTTATTGTGCCGTTCCCCACAAGTGGCCCCGGATTGAGATGGTGATTGTGCCAGGGGTGCACCCTTTCTCGGGCCGGGCCGCCGCCCACTCCACCAGCCACCCGCCCCGTCGACGGTTGAGCGAATATGATGCTGGGGTCGTTCAGGTTCATGGGGGCGGGGCTCACCACTGGCCCGCCTCCAGTCCCGCCTCCACCACCCCGGATGGCAAACTTCAGGCCAGGAGAGGACGGGTGGCCGGAGGCGGTGGAGGCCCCAGAGCCCTGGATGAGAGGGCCGTGGATGGGCCAGGAGGCAGAGGTGAGGGGCGGCTGCTGGGGGTGGGCAGGCAGGAGGCCCAGCGCGGAGAGCCCGGCGTGGTACGGCCCCGGGTGGGAATGGGGGAAGCTGAAGATGGGAAGTTGGACCTGTGGAACCTGCTGCAGTTGGGAGGGTTTGGAGGTAGAGGATGCAGAGGAAGGCTTGCTGTTCTGCGGAGAGACGGACGCCTGGCTGTAGGGAGACGGCTGAGGGGAGTACGGAGGAGTCTGACGCGTATCAGACTGGATGGAAACAGACAGAAATAGTGTCAGTTCATCCAAAAACGAATGTATGAAAATAAATTATGTTGCTGGGTGATATTGAATATTTACAATGACTTTTTTTGGCAAACAAAAATTGGGCAAAACCTTGGATATCATACCATATCGCTTTTCATACCACTACCATGCCCATATCTGAAAATATCAGTGTAACGTGGTACCATCACAGCAGTTTTTGTAAGGTTTCTCAAGTCATCGTGCATAAGTAGCGTAAACGTTTCTAAACACTTAGTTTCTTTAGTAAAAAACGTAATTACTAAAAATAATTAAAGAGGTGGTAAATCAGCTATTTTCGAAGGCTTGATTGTGTTTATGGGGTCCATTCTACTAAAAACGACTTGACTTACTGGTTGCTCCCTCAGAAATACACAATGGGCTCAGATTGGTTAGCTGTTCCAGTGTGTTGTGATTCGTTAACCATCTAGTGCATGTTGTCCGGAAACGTCACGCCCCTTAACATTACTTAACATTAACGAAGCATGTGCTCCGGTGTATGGTAAACAATGGTGTCAATATTGCTTTATCAATTTGAGGCCGAATCAGACCCAGAGAATATCAGTGAAGAGGATCGAGCAGAACCTGTGCAAGCACAGCTCTTACAGGACGTTTCAGAACGCTTTGTAGATATGCTGTTATTTGTAAATGCTATGTTAGCTTTTGATATACGGCTTTACAGCAACATTACACACTAACTGAAGTTAAAAAAGTAAAATAATCAAGGACCCCTTTGAATGATTTATTAATTATATAAGAATTATACATAATTATATCTTTATAATATATAAATATATCTTTATAAAGTTAAAGTTTTTCTTAGATTATTTTGTGAAAATTAATTTCTACTTTCTAAAAATAAATACTTCATTAATTATAAAAAAATATATAAAGGCAAATATAAATGTAACTCACATATACAACAAATCTAATGACTAAATAATTGGTTTATTTAGTGAAAATTAATAATAAAAAATTTATGTATTACTTATAAATATTAGAATAGTAATACATATATACTTTATATATACACTGTATTATTTCTAAATAACATTATAAATACATACTATCAGCTATATATTATTAGTATATATATATACAGTGGGTACGGAAAGTATTCAGACCCCCTTCAATTTTATTTACTGAAAAGTAATATTAGATAAAATTAGATAATTTATTATAATTAAAAATAAATATAATGCACTATAAATCTAAATAAATATCATATGAATTAAATAATAAAACTTTTTTTATTTATTAAAAATGACAAAAATACATAATTAGATTAATTATAACTATAAATAAATAATACATAGATAAATTTAAAAAATAAACCAGATTTTTACTATATTTAGTGACCAGTATTTTAAATATACTTGACAAAAATTAATAATTGGTTCAAATTATTTGGTCGAAGTTTCATTTGACTGGCAAAATAAATTAATTTCAAAGCACATAAAATACTGAGAAACATCAACAACTAAAAGGCAATGGACGTCTATCATCCAGCCGCAGCTGAGAGCAGAGAGTTTAGGTCCTCACACATTCAGAGGGCTGCCTGTGCCGTCCAGCCCGATCCTGGACTGAAGCACCTTGAGGAATGGGGATGGACTGAGAGCTCGCCATGACACATGAAGATGAAATGAGACATGAAATGAAGGTTAAAATGGCGTTAGCAGTTGTAGTGTGACTCACGGCCTCTGTTCCCAGCTGAGGGTAAAATGGGGTGCCGAACAGCTTCCTGCCGTTGATGAAGGCCTTCATGATGAAGTTAGTCACTGTGTACAGAGAGGGCAGAGAGAACAAGTGAGACATAATCAACCGTATATTTACTGAAAGGTGTGGAACAGGATAGATTGGCTTACTTTTGCGAGAAACACCAGCCCCAAGATTGTGATTCAAGTCAAAGGGATCTGTTAAAAAAAAACAGTCATGTAAAAATAACATATTCAAGGGTCATGCAACATGTTTGTTTGGTTGAAATAAAATATTGCAAAATATCATCATCTTTTTGTGTATTTTGTGAAACATAATTACTAAAAATAATTATTTTCTTATTAATACCGTAATTATAAATAATAATATAAAAATAAATTATTACATACTAATTCATATCCAATTAGTTATAAATTAATTAATGATTAATAATAATATTAAAAAATGTAAATATTGTTTTAACTGTATTTTAGAGCATTAAACATTTTAAACCTACTTGGAAACAATGGATGGAATAACAATAAAATACAAGTACAAAATTAATTAAATATATTAATACAATTATTTTATAATCTGTTTTTATGAAGCAAGACAGATCTAGAGAGGCTGAATTAATTAACAAATAAATAAAAGAATGAATAACCTGAATAAAATAACTGATTTCTGTGCATGTCAGAACAAAGTAAGAGAAAAAAGTTGAGAGTCATAATGAGCGTTTCAAACCTTCGATTGCGATGCATTTGGACGTCCACTGTTTCTCAAAGGTGGTGAGGCGTTTGCGCTGGCGGATGGAGATGACGTACTCTTTAAAATCAAACTCTTCTGTGTAGAAGCGCAGCAGGCCGAGCCATAGCTCCCCGACTGTCTCCTTATTCTGATGGAGCTCCGGCAGTCGCCGCCGCTGGACACCAGAAACACACACCTTAACTGATGCATGCTGAGTGCACTTCAAAATGCATCGGGCTGCGTAATTTGTTTACAGTCTCCAAGTGTATAAATGATAAATATTAGAAACTAAACGTGTGTCACTTTCAGTGAGGTTGACTAAATATAATATATAAAAAATACATAGAAATTACTTGTTGTTGTTGTTGTTAATAAACAAATTGTTGATAACAAATACTATCAGTTACTGTTTTTCTTTATGTATTTAGTGACAATTACAAAATTTTTTTGATTATTAATATTATAATAAATAATACAAACAAATATATAATATCACTTATTTTTCTTTGCATATTTAGTGAAAAGTAATTTTAAAAATATTAGATTACTTAGTATTATAATTATAACTAACAAACATATATATACTATCAGTAATCATTTTTGTGTATTTAGTGGCAAGTAATTACTAAAAATAATTAAATTACTTAATATAATTATCAGTTATTGTTTTTCTTTGTGTATTCAGTGACAAGCAATTATAAAAATAATGAAATTACGTAATATTATAATTATAAATAAAATAAACAAATACATTTATGGATTTTCTTAATTTTTTTAGTAATTACTTGTCACTAAATAAAGAAGATCCATAACTGATCGTATGTCTTTGTTTATATTATTTATAATTATAATATTAAGTAATCTAATTATTTTTGTAATTACTTGTCTCTAAATAACAGATGATTTATTATTATAAATTATAAATAATATAAAAATACATTTTAGCATTTTTATTTGTGTATTTAGTGAAAAGTAAATATTAAAAGGTTAATATCTAATACATAATTAAAGAAAATAAATTAAATTAATAAAAATGGTACAATTTAAGTAGAATGAAACCTCTTCAACGTTCTGACTCAAATAAAAATGTCTTGCTCAGAAACAATCTCAAATCAATCCCACTCACCAGCTCATCAAGGTCATCGAAAAAGAAAGCGTTCCAGCCGTCCACCATCCTCTGAGGAACAGTGCTCCCATCGAATATCTGCAGAAGAGCACAATCATTCAGTTCCATGGTGCAGATATGTGATCCTATCAGTGCACCATGGTACTGCCACAGTACTTCTGTGTAAGTGCTTTGTACCTCTTGTAACACAGGGATGACTGGTGGTTGTTTCTGTTGTAAGAAATACAGCACCATGAGGATGTAAGCATAGGAGGACAGACTTCCTCTGGAGGCGTCGCCAATATCACAGCGCTGCAAAACACACACATTTACATTTTCCCCTAGTGTGCATGTAGTCAATACTATAGCATCCAGTAATTTCCAATGCACTGACAAAAGGATAAAAATGTAATGAAGAGGGCAGTGACAGGGTACAACAATGGCATGCATCTGTCATGAGCGACAATGTGGGTGACAATAAGCCACAGACATTTATTGGATAGCATAGATCATGTTTGCGACGTTCTTTTAGCCGCTGGAGGTAGTTAGCATGGTCTTGAGCCTTTCAGGCTCCAGGCATGACGAAGCGGATATCGTCCTCTTTTGGAAGGCCAAACAAAGTAGTTTTGCTTTCACAACGAAATACACAGCATCTTCACGACATGGCGGCAGCAACCATACTATAGCGAGAATAAAAGTTACGCCTTCTTTCTTTGCGTGAACATTTGGGCGGCGTTATGCAAATCTTCCCACTTCGTGACGTAGACATGATAATGTACATCCAGCCGGTTGTTATCGCAGAATAACCCCCGACAGGGTGATCAGGACCCCGACGCGCCTTACATAACAGACAGCACTATTTGAACTGTATAACTCACTAAAGTACTCTGTCCAACACACAAGCTTCTCTGGTTTATCTTAAATGATGGAACCATCTTTCCTCTTGAACACACCACAAGTCTGGGTACTAGGTCCTATTACAGTTTTGATAGCTTTATACATAGCTTTGATATTTCCAGAATCTCTTGCAGTTTCAATATTGGAGCATATCATGTCCCAGTAATCTTGGGCACATTTCTGAACTGTTGCTTGTGCAGCAGATTTTGCAGCACGATATGCGACTGTTGCTTGTCTTGTGGGGCTTGATTTGAGGTGGACTAGAGCTTGATGCTTTTCCTCAAGAACTGGTTGGATAATTTGTAAGGAGGCATTATACCAGTCAGGATTTTGTCTCCTTTTCTTTCCAAAAGTTTGTAAAGCAGTGTCATAGATCACATTTCTCATGGCTTCCCAGGGTCTGGAGTATCAGGAATGTTCTGACGCCTTTCTTCAAGCCTGCTACAGTATTTTTCTCTAAGATTTGGGAGCTTTATTTTGTGAATGTCAATCTTTTGGGACTGTTTCACTTGACGACGGAAAGGCTTTGGTTCAATGTTTATGTATGACACAACTAGACTGTGATCAGTGTCACAGTCGACACTGTGATATGTACGTGTATTCTTGACTTCCTTTCTGTACTTCTGCTTGACAATAACAAAGTCAAGCTGGTGCCATGCTTTAGATCTTGGGTGGCACCAAGTCATCTTTCTATGTAATCACCCAGGAAAGATAGTATTAGTAATACAGAGATTGTTTCTGCAGCAGAGCTCGAGTAGCCGTTAACCATTCTCATTCATTCACCCCACCCCAAACTTTCCAATGCTGTCAGGCCAAATATTATGGTCCTCCCCTACTCTGGCATTCATATCACCCAACAAGACTGTCCGTTCAGCTTCAGGAGATGACCTGCGAAGCATTTCTAGTGTCCATAGAACTGATCTTTGTCTGCTGGTTCTGATTTAAGTGTTGGTGCGTAGGCAGATATTACTAAAATACAACCTTGTCTGGTGTTAAGTCTAAAGAAAGATATTCTGTCACTAATTGCAGTAGGTGTTTGTATATTGCCGATTAGGTTGTTACGCATGGCAAATCCAGTCCCGTACAGCCTTGGTTCATCAGCTGGCCTGCCAAACCAGTAGAATGTAAAATTGGCTTCTCTAATAGTACCTGCCCCTACTAATCTTGTCTCTTGAAGAGCAGAGACATGTGCATTTCATTTGGCCAGTTCAGTATCAATGATAGCTGTCTTTCTAGCATTTATATTTTCGCAAACTGCATCTTGGTACTAGACTTGTGCCGGTATTCGGTAATGCGATATATCACGGTAATGGATATGCACGATATTGTTATCGTGGGCACTTCTAAATACCGTGAATAATTATATATTACAAATTATTCAAAATTTTGAATGCATTATAAGAATACTTTTACCATCAACATGTCAAAATGCACAACACCGCTGTATGCTGCGTGAAAGAGGTGTGCGCAGTCTGATGTAAACAAGCACGGACGAGAAGCACATGGCGGAACATGTGAGAGACGCTCTGGATGAAAGCGCACTTTCACTCTCTGACAGCAGATGGCGCTAAACTGCACGCTTGTGTTAGGACCACCCAATGTAGCTAAAATTTTCCTGGTGAATAATTAAAAATATTACAAACATTTTCTAATTCTTTATTATTAAATAAACCGTTTTATGAGCTCTTGTTAATTGAGATAAAAACAATTTGTTTAATTAATAATAAAAAAAATTCCTTAACTATTTTCTTCAAAGTATGCACAATTGTTCAAAAGTTTGGGGTCAGAAAGATTTTTTAATGATTTTGAGAAAAAAGCTCTTCTGCTCACCAAGGCTGCTTTTATTTGATCAAAAATACAGTAATTACAGTAATATTTTGAAATATTTTTACAATTTAAAATAACTGTTTTCTATTTGAATAAACTTTTCAATATAATTTATTCCGTTGATCAAAGCTGAATTTTCAGCATCATTACTCCAGTCTTCAGTGCCACATGTTCCTTCAGAAATCATTCTCATATGCTGATTTGCTGCTCAAGAAACATTTCTGATTATTATCAATGTTGCAAACAGTTGTGCTTAATCAGAATCAGAATCAGAATCAGAATAAGCTTTATTGCCAGGTATGTTTACACATACGAGGAATTTGTTTTCGTGACAGAAGCTTCCACAGTGTAACAGAATGACAGTGACAGAACAAAAAACACAGATAATAAATAAAAAAATAAAAAATAAAAAAAAAAACTAGAACAAGTAAATAAGGAATAAAAATATATAAATTGACAATTGTATGTGCAGGTATATTACAACAGACAGTTTTGTATGTACAGGTACTGTATATTATGTGCAAATTTGAGGTGTAGACT